GAATTTTGATATCAGCTGTCTCATCTCACAATTGTTACCTTGATTTCATGTGAAATAATTCCATTTTCTTGAATTGGGGTTCTCTTATCTTCATGTTTTAAGCTCAAATGTTTCCAAAAATGGTGTCTTGATTTTTCTAGTCGTCTTTCCACAGTGATCACACAAAATCTTTCCCCAATAGTGATCTACTTTCCTCATTTGGTTAGAAGAATGAATAGCACAAATGGAACTACTAGTGTTGAAAAAAGTACACCCTACCAACACAATTTTGAACAAACACATTAGTAGTTTGGATATCCAAATACAATCTAAATATGTCCCAGCTATTGAGTTTTAGCATTTACAAGTGTTTTTCAGCACTTGATGTTGTTCATTTTTTATATTGCATTTCTTTACTGCTTACTGAGTGGAGGATCTATCGAAAATAGCCACAAGCTATGAGTAATGTCTATAAACACACTACCCTCCCCATACCCATTTATGGGATTATACTACCTATGTTGTTGTTGTTGTTGTTGTTGTTTCAACACTTGATGCTTATCGGCTAGTATTTTTTTTTATCAAACTAAACTGGCTCGTAATATTTTCATTATATGTTTTGGGTTAAGCAGAAGCAATTGGCAATCATGGTAGAGAAAGCTTCAATTGAGGATGTGATGAGAGTTTTAATAGCATCAAGGAAGCAAGACATGCAGCAATTATGGACTACTTGTTCACATTTGGTTGCAAAATCAGGCCTTCCACCAGAAATCTTAGCTAAGCACCTTCCCATTGATGTTGTAGCCAAAATCGAAGAACTCCGCCTCAAATCCAATCTAACACGTCGATCGCTAATGCCACACCATCACGGCCACCACCACCACCACCACGATCTCGGCTCTGCAGCCGAGCTCGAGGACCAAAAAGTCCGTCGGATGAGACGAGCCCTTGACTCATCCGATGTTGAACTTGTCAAGCTCATGGTAATGGGAGAAGGCCTCAATCTTGATGAATCCATTGCCTTGCATTATGCAGTTGAAAATTGCAGCAGGGAAGTTGTGAAAGCGTTGCTTGAGCTTGGGGCAGCTGATGTTAACTACCCTGCTGGCCCTGCTGGTAAAACTCCTCTACACATTGCAGCAGAAATGGTGTCACCAGATATGGTAGCAGTACTATTAGACCATCATGCTGATCCGAATGTCCGAACATTAGACGGGATCACTCCGTTGGACATTTTACGTACCCTAACATCCGATTTTCTATTCAAAGGAGCTGTCCCTGGAATCAATCACATTGAACCAAATAAACTGAGGCTATGTCTTGAACTTGTTCAATCAGCAGCTATGGTGATTTCTCGAGAAGAAGGAAGCGCGAATATTGATCCGTCTTCTACAACTATTTACCCGCCTAATGTCAGTGATGATCATACTTCTAGCACAAGCAGTGGTGGGAATATTGGAAATAATCTTAACATTGATTCAAGAATGGTGTATTTAAATCTTGGTGCAGCTACTAATACTCAGAATCGATACAATGGTTGTGATCCATCTTCAATGTACCACCATTCGCATGATTATTAGTTAAGCTCATATATATACATCTTTTGTCCGAACAGTTCATTTATTGGAACAGACCATAAAGGAAAGTACGATGATTCAGATTTAAATAATATTCAGATAGTTTACATATATTTTCTTCTTCTTTACCTTCTCTTTATGCTATAGTCGTTCTTCTCTCTATTTTTTTTTTGTGCATATTTTTTTGATTTGTTTCTAGGTCATTCAGATGATAATGCAATGAGCAGATTTTTGGATGGGACAAAAGGAGAATGTGAGGTTTTGCTTTGTGGAGAGAAAGGGACGCAGGTCAATCTTCTCTGGCCTGTCAACTCCCTTTTGTTTTATTTTTAAAGATTTTATTTGTGTACACTGATCATGTAATTTTTTATACAGCCATTAATTTATAATCTGTTTGATCAAGCTGCAAAAATTAGTTTATTTTGAAAAATATTTTTTTAAAAATATTTTTGGTGAAACATTTTGTGTTAGGCTAATTAATTTGAAAAGCATTTTCGAGCAACAATTAGTGTTTGCCAAAACTTTTAAAAATTGCTTCCGAGTGCTTTCGGAGTGAAGCTACTTTTTTCTGCTTCCACTAAAAAATACTTTTTTTTCTTTTAAAAATTTGACCAAACACTTCAACTTTGAAAAAACACACACTACTTTTTAGATTTTTTTTTGTTTGACTTTGGAGAAGCTTGGCCAAACAGGCTATTAATCACATTTTTTTTGGGAGAAAAAAGTGCTTATTATTGTTATATACATATACTTATAGTTATCGTTTAATCTAATACTCCATCCCAATTTATGCGGCAGTGTTCGGATTTCGAGAGTTAAACAAGTTTTTCATATGCCTTTTAGATATTTTAAACTTTTAATTATTATGGCTTATAGTAATTTTTATGTAATATATATATATATATATATATA